GATCTCTTCTGTCATCCGCAGATTAAAATATTATGAGATAAGAGCTAAAGGCTAAGCTTTCGCCTATCCAAAGTGTCACCGCTAGGATCAAAATGACTGTTCGAGGTTAGACCCTCATTGTTAGAGCCACAACAAGCTAATCCCAGTTTATATGGGGTATCATCTACCCTTGATTTCAAAGCTAGAAGCTCAACGTCAGATCTGTCCTTGGGCTAGTTATCACCGTGCACTTTTTCATGTAGCCATTAGGTATAAAGTGGTAAGTTTGTTGTACTTTCGTTCAAGCCACTTGGATTTCCTTTCAGATGGTTGCGATACCCAGTTAATTGGTACTGGACAGCTTGTTGGTTTGGTATAACACCAATATTTTGTTTGGTTAGCTTTTATGTACTGTATATTTTGAGTTAAAATTTTTCAAGCGATTTATAGCCCATATATAATACTCAGCGACAAATCTTTATCTTGCAGGTTGTTGGCTGTATGTCTATATACGCCGCCTTTGTTAGCGGCTTCTATCGGTTAGCGACAATTTTTCTTATGAAATGTTAAAAAAATTTTTTGCTTTCTACCTTAACGTAGGCTTATTCTTTAAACAGCGAGTACGAGGCTGTAGTGATTATTTTTATGCGTTTTGTGTTGCAACAACTGCGTAATACTGGCATTTTCAAAACTCTGTATGCGTGTTTCGAGTGCATTTTATTGGGGAGGGCTTTTAAGTTGGGGACCAGAGAAGCTAAGAAACTGAAATTTGAGGAAGACCCACTAGGCGTATGCAAACTCATGAACATAAATTCAGCGTTCTCGCGTCTAGACCTTACGTACGACCATGTGAAAGTTTTGCTGAATAAATTAATAATTCGGAAAATACAAAAGTTAGGGAGTTGAAATCTCAGAAGAGAGCCCCTTGTCCGCATGTGGTACTGCAGAATTGAATTTAACCTTCACGTGTGCCTAGGTCTCACGCACGGATATGTGAAAGTTTTGGCGTGAAAATTACTAACTCTGAGCCAGAAACCAAAATTGATATGTGACTTATTAAACAGTAATGCAGGGTACACTTTTACCAGAAAGGCCCCTTGAACTGAGCTGCATAAGCATCAGCTCGGCAGGGTCGCAAAAGCGTCCGCCAAACAGAATTGCACAAGCGTTCCATGGTGCGCGCCACTATTCACAATTCTTACCTGCACTTACGTCTGTGTTTATATCTGCTTATCTGTGCAAAACATTGATGAAAGGCACAGCCCTAACCCGACTGATCCTATCTTACTATGTGTTTTTTTCTGCTATGTATCATAAACTTCTACCTTGCTGATCCTCGACTTTTTTACCGCCTAGTAACATCTCCGATATTGTAACATTTGAGGTTGCTTGCCAACTAAGGAACGGTGTTAAGCTACAGTAACTCCCCGCCCCTCCCCCTACCCTTTCATCCTTTACTCATAGCGACCTTTGTTTTTTTTTTTTCCAGTAGCTAAGTAGCTAAAGAATGATAGTATGAATTACAGCTATTACATTGTATTAAGCATTGTAACTACCGGTTTAATTTTTCAACGTTTAGGAGGACAGGAGCGTTAGCCTTTGTCACCGGAGTGGTGCCGATGCTTATCGTGTTCGCTGTGCTGATCTTTCACATCATGAACGCTCGTCGAAAAGGCGTACCAATTAAAACAGTTTTTAGCGCTGATCTTCGTTGGGGGCCCGAGTTGAGCACCGACCGTTTGCGGGCTTTTCACGAAGAACGAGCTGCGCGAGTCAACGATTGATGCATTGCGCGCAAATTGTTATTTTGTTTTTATTTTGTTATTTTTTTAAAATAAATGCTTGCATCATTTTGATGATCAACAACAACGGTCAAAATAGAACAGCTGCGTGAAGAATGATTAGCAGCACTGGAAAATTGGAAAATTTGCTCCAAATCCTTGCCGCGTTTTGTCGGACCTAGCCGACTTTGGTCTAAAATGTTTCCTAAGAAAGAACTGCCTGCACATTATGATAACAGACGAGAAAAAATAGCGGAGCCCAACAGAGTAGCTGATGCTATCATACTTTTGTGCAACCTTTTCCAGCGAACGCTTGTGCAGTTTTGTTCAGTGGATGCTTTTACAACCCTGCCCATCCGAAACCTGTGCAGTTTTGTTCACGGGAACCTTGCTGTTAAAAGTGTCCACTGCATTATTGTTTGCTGCGTTGCATTTTACATTTAGTGCCAAAGCTTTACTATTCGTCGTTCCTCTGTCATTAATTTGGCTGCAAAAGTTTTACTAGCTCGTACAGGAAAATTAGACGACGCGGGGATGAATTTACACGCGTGCAGGGAGTACTGTTCTAAAATTTCAGCCGTCTAGCTTTTGTGGTTCCTGAATTACTAGTTTTGGGGCCAAGAGCTTCGTGTGGCCGCATGTGAAGCCTAGGCGCGCGGACGCTCGATTTGAGACTGCGAGATTAGATTCTAATAAAAGTTTCAGCTTCATACCTTCTCTGGTCCCCTTTCAAAAAACCACCTGCAATAACAAAACTTTCAGCATTGGGCCTCAACTAAAAATTTTATTCCTACTGAAAAAAAAAGTTTTTGGTCGTGGTACGATGCTGGAAAGCTTTATTTTCATTAAATTCGGCATGTAATCCTGAGCAAACTTTTATCTGATAATCACAAAACAACACATAAGCGTGAAATAATCGAATAAAAGTTCTGTGGAAGAAGTGTTTTTCGATATTTTCTGCTGGACCTACAGTAAGCTTTATATGTAGAATTTACCCAAGCTCAGCCTAGTTTCTTAAATAGAAGTTCCTAGCAGGAGCCCTTAGTTCCTGCAGTTACAAGCATAGAAAATAAAATTACTGTTCCAACCATTGCTTCCCTTCCTGCCCTTTCACTCGCGTCTTCCCCTTCTTTTGACTCATCCGCTAGTCTTGCTTATTGAACTGAACCTCCCGCCGATCTAGGGAATTTTATACTAGGTCAAAGGTAAAAGAATATGGAGAAAAAGTCGGAAGATTGAGAAAATTATTCATAGCCAGTAACCAGCAAAAAAAAATCGCCCATCGATCTAGGCAATTTTATACCAGGTCAAAGGTAAAAAAAACATGGGGAAATCGGAAGATTGGGAAAATTATCCATGGCCAGTAATTAGTAAAAAAAAAAAAAGAAATCAAGTAGAAGGGGAAATATGCAATAGTAAAAATTATGAAGTTACAAAGATATAGTTACGGAAACAATAATTACGCAAATGGTAAGATTACTTATAGATTAATCTGAAGTAAATTTACTTATAGATTAATCTGAACCAGCGAAAACGGCGATGAGTGAAGGGTGTCTTTTTTTTCCAGTTTTTATTAGCACAAAATCCAATAACATCAGTTACACACGATAGTCCTATACTGGTAGCTCAAGCCGCCTTGGTAATGATGCAAAATAGCGCCCGAATAATTTCAGTTTTTTAAATTCTTTTAAATTATATGCGCATATTCCGCCCAACGACTATGATATGTACGATCAAAACTGAACCCAAATAACCCAAAGAAATGCGGAAACGGCAAGGAGACAAGCAAATACGGTGAATCACATCAAAGATCACTGATTTTGGAGACGAGCAGCCACGTTAAAGATCACTGATTCCGGATTCCTGCTGCAAAAACGAGCGGATACACTGGAGCAGCTCACGCTTCACTTCATCTGGCACTGCTCTTCGAGCTCGCACTTGCACATCAGCCAGCACATCTTCCACTGTCACATTTTCTATCCCCTGCAAAGCACATTGGTGAAATTCTTTGTGTTTAGAATTTTGTTAAAGTTGCAGCACAACCTCGACTGTAATTTGAATATTTTATGAAGTTATGAAAAAGGTTGTAACTACAGGGAAAGTAATAATTTAAAGGAAATAAAATTGGAATGTTCCGGTGCATTAATAAGTCGCATACATTCCCATTCAGCGCTGCAACTGGACCTCGTCAGTGTTACGGTTACAGCAGAACTATTAGAAATAGCAACGCGCACCAGACTAGCCGGTGCGATCATGCGTTTTGTGGGATTCAGCCCATCGAACGATTGCCTATTAATGATTTTCACTGCTTTGTACTTTAGTCTATGCAAAAAATAGTTCAAACATTGGAAAACACTTAAAAATTGCACTAGCGCATGAAAGCCGAATTCGAAACCTTAAAGGGTGAATATCTTTATCCCAAGTTAATAGTTTACTCGTCAAAATTTTCACGGGGCCGCACGTGT